TTATGTAAGCAGCATGTCCATCTTGCGACTTAAATGCATTCAAATTATGGAATATCGAGTCCCGGAAGGCTTGTGCCTGTTCATACTCGTGTTTATCGACAGAATGACACAGGTGCCGTTCATACTCGTGTTAATGGCACATATGTCGTTTTGTTGGTTTCTCTTATACTTCGCTTCATTTCCACCTCGACGACCTCAAGGATCGGACCTCCTAATATAAGAAAGTTAGAATTATTGATTACGTGGCAAATAACGGTAGAATTGCCATAGATTGTAGATATCGCATTGGTGAAATCACAAGTCACCATCCACATTCGTTAGAAAATAAAAGTAATGAGAGTATCTCCCAAATTATGTGAGCGGCATGTCCAACTCGCAACTTAAATGAGTTTAAATTATGGAATATCGAGGCCCGAAAAGCTCGCGGCTGCTCATACTCTGTTTATCGACAGAACGACACAGATATCGTTTAACGATGCATGTGTCGTTCTGTTGGTTTCTCCTATATTTTGCTTCATTTTCATCGTGTCGACCTTAAGGATCGGACCTCTTAACATAAGAAAGTCAAAATTATTGATTACGTGATGAATAATAGTAGATTTAGCATAGATTGTAGAAGTCGCGTTGGTGAAATCACATGTCACCATCCACATTCGTTAGAAACAAAAGTAATGAGAGTATCTCCCAAATTATGTGAGCGGCATGTCCATCTCGCGACTTAAATAAGTTCAAATTACGGAATATCGAGGCTTGAAAGGTTCGTGGCTGCTCATACACGCGTTTATAACGTCATCTGTGTCGTTCTGTTGATTTCTCCTATATTGCGCTTCATTTCCACCGCGTCGACCCCGATTAGATTTCCTAATTAAAGAAAGTCAGAATTATTGATTATGTGACGAATAACGGTAGAATTGGCATAGATTGTAGATGTCGAGTTGGTGAAATCACAAGTCACCATCCACATTCGTAAGAAAATAAAAGTAATGAGAGTATCCTTCAAATTATGTGAGTGGCATATCCATTTCGCGACTTAAATGAGTTCAACTTATTGAATATCGGGGCCCCAAAGACTCGTGGCTGCTCATACCGTTCTCTTGTCAATAACGGCACAAGTGTCGTCATATGAACAATAACGACGCTTGTGTCATTCCCATTAATAAGGTTATGTCATTATAACGTTTGTATCGTTTTTTTAAAACTTTTCAATATCAGTAACGGCACAAGTGTCATTCTCGTACACTTGTAAATTTAACTATAATGACAATTATAGTATTTTAAACATTAACGGCAAAAGCGTCATTCTCATGAACAAAACTTGACCAAAATAACGATCGAATTACTGTTATCATAGAAATGCACACGTACATTTAAATGAAAGACATAAAAACTATAACTACAATTAATAATCAACTTGAAGCAAACATGTACTTATCACGTAACCTCAAACATGGATTCCCTAACTTAAGAAGTTAGAAAGGTTGATCACATGACAAAGAACGGTTGAATTGACATAAGTTATTCTATTATTTTCAATAAAATACAAGTAATGAGCATATCTCGTAATTTTTTTAAATGCCATAATCAATTTGCAAGTTAAATGAGTTCAACTTATAATTTCACGAGGCAGGAACGGGTCCTGGTTGCTTAATTTCTTAATGATAGACAGAACATCACAAGTGCCATTTTATTATCAGTAACGGCACTTGAGCTGTTATGTTGATTTCTTCTTTATTTTCGTTTGTTTTTAACGCAACGACCTTTAGAATTGGACACCCTAAATTGTGCAGTTCTCATAGTAATAATAGAAATTTATATTTATGTATGTCACTTGTGCTGTTCTTTTGAATCTTTTCATTTCAGTAACGACACTAGTACCGTTCTCAAGAACTTTCAATATACTATAAATAGTACTTGTGCCTTTCTCATGGACACTTATAAATAAAATATAATGGCAGTTTGCAGCTCTCATAGACGTTTCATTTCAGCAACGATACAAGTGTCATTCTTAAAGAGAGGTGGCGTTCTCATTTTAGTAACGAAACAAGTGTCGTTTTCATAAACAAGTAAATTTACAATTATAACGACAGTTTTGTCATCATTGGGATGCTAGATTAATAATTAATGAGTATATTTCTTAACTCATATTGGGATGTTAGACTGACAATTAATAAGCACATTTAACTTAAAAGACATTAACAAAAATGTAGAAAAATCAACAGAATAACACAAGTGCTGTTATTAATATGAAAATGACCATTGTGCCATTATAGGGTTGTTTGAGCCATTTTTTCAAAAAATGATTTTTGTAATAGTGTTATGATGGAGAATGTGTGGTTAAAAAATAAAAAAAAGTTTTGAATTTGCGTATAATATTATTTTATTGAAAAACGAGTGGTTAAGATGGGATCAAATCACTGTTCAAGAATGCATTTTGATAAAAAAAAATGAGACTCAAACAAGGGCTATACATATAAAAACGAGTAAAAGTAGTTACGTCTTATCTATATCCTGAAAACCAATAGTGGAACTCATTTACATTATTTATGGTATTGTCAAACTTTCCATGTTACATATGTTAGGGAGTCCATTATTAAATATTGTTTTGTTGAAAAAATTGAATATAGGTGAAAATTTCAGAACGACGCAAGTGTTGTTACTGGATATGGAAACGACATTTGTACTGTTACGTGTATAAATATGAGGATAAGTAGTCACAGTCCATTATTTCCTTGAGAAATAATAAGTGAAATTTATTTATATTGTAATATGTACATAACACGTACAAAAGTTGATAGGTATGTTTATTAATTTAATCGACATATATAAGTGTGATAATTTATATTTTCATCATCCTAATAATATAAAGGGAAAATTGTAGCAGCGGTAGTAAACATTTCGTATATTAGCAGACTTTGCCCAAACCTTCATTTTGTGCCAACGAAGGTCTCAAACCTTTCATAAATATGCAGCCGAAATCCAGATGGATGGAATCCATCCATTTCACCGTTAGTTGACCAAAGAACTGACTTTGACTCCAATTTTGACCATATAACTAAGGGCAAAATAGTAACTTGTATATTATCCCATTAATTAAATAAGTTAAATAGATAAACCATAAAAAAAAAATGAAAGAAAGAAAATGTGGGCATCATCTTCTTCTCAACCCCCCCCCCTCCCCCGCCCACAATCCAAATTGCAAAAGTTTTGAAAATCAAGATGATGGTGCGTCATCTTCATCATAAACTTCCTGCAATTTTCTTGATTGATCTCTTGTTTTCAACTTTTGGGTCTTTTTAGGTGAATACATTTTTATTTCCTGCTGTCTAAAAATAGAATACCCAAAAAAGAAACACCAGATTTCAGTTTGGAGAAATTGATGAGAAGAGTTTGGATCGAGTGATCATGTCAGCTGCAAGAAACTTCAGCTTGCTCATTTTAACTATCAAGGTTGAGAATAATCCCATTTGCGTTGAGAGGAACCTCGGATCCACATCTTCATTTCATTAAAAGGGGAAAATTTTGGATTTAACAGGGAAAAAATCAGAATAAATAAAAGGGAAAATTGGACAAGAATCGGGCTTTTGGGTGGGATGGAGGTGGAGGTGGAAGCGAGAGTGGGGTGTGGTGTTGAGTTGGAGAAAGAAGGTTGGAGTGGGGGATGGTGGTGGCCGGCACCACGACGATGGTCTGTTGCAATTTGGATTTTTTGGGGAGGGGGGGGGGGGGAAGGGGGGGAAGAAGACGATGCCCACATTTTCTTTCTTTCATTTTTTTAATATTTTGTGTTATATACGTTAGTGAGTCCATTATTAGAATCATTTCATTGAAAAAATCAAACTATAGTAGATAACGACTGTAATATCGTTTTACTTTACAGGTAATAACTAGAGTGATGTTATATATTTCAGATAGCATTTGGAATGTTATTACATTCAATGGTCGCAGATAACACAAAAAACACACCAAATATGGAAATAATACCAATTAAATATTATTTAATATTATATTTAATAATAAAAATACAATAAAAATGAGATTTCTAAGAACATATTTCCCTCTTTCTTTGAATGTAAATGCAATTTTTCAATGTAAATGATATGCTAACCAAACTCTTATTCAAATACTCAAAAGATATCCAAAATAAGTGAAGAATATAATAAAGAACATAATTTTAGAATAGCAAGAATGATTATTGAAGAGAAGAAAATAGGTGATTATAATTTTGAGAACTTAAAATTGAAGAAGATAATCAGGGGAAGAAGATAAATTTCCACAAATTTGTAGTAGATTTCGTGAGATTTCAACAAAGAGGAAGAAGAAGAGAGACATTGATTCTTGAATTTGGGATAATAGAGTTTACCTGAGAAGAAAACCGGTGAATGAGGGAATTTGGAAGAATTTTTGTGTTAAAATGTGGAGGATAGTTTGGTCATTTTATTAATTAAACTATTCTAATTTTTTTTTTCTCTTTTTTGTTTTGGTCAAAGGCCATTTATTCAAAATTATTGGGCAACCCGGCTATCTCACCAAATTCCCCTAGTTTTATTTACCGGTAACGCGACCCACTTTGATTTAGTGAGACCCGTGTGTCATTTTCATCTATACCGTTGATAAATGTCAGGTAATTGACGACATACACAGCAAAACAAAATCGGGTTAAGATAGAGTACACTTTTCACCAGAATTTGAATCACTTATTCTCCTTAAGCTCTTGTTTACTTGTAAATAAATTTACTTATATGTAAATTTTTTAAGCTTAGATTAATTGAAGATAAATCCAAACAGTACAAACTTTAAGTTTAGATAATTTTTTTTGCTGAGTACAAAAATTACATGCACGTAATTTGTTATATATAGTACAAATCCAAACTGTACAAACGTTTATTTATTCACCATCATTCAACTTTGCTATAGAACACAAACTTAAATCTTCAACAAATGCAGATAATGGATTTGTCATACATTTCTCTGCCTTATTGCTGATAAACAGAAACATTTGGTCAGGGCTCAAAATCTTTCTCAAATGTCTTTTTCTCATTCAATCCTACATCATCGATGTAAGCTGACACATTAGGCCTCGGCTCAAACGCTGTTACAAAAGATTTCCCTTTTCCCTGTTCACCATCATCGGTGTAAGAAGATACATTAGGCCTTGGTTCAAAGTCTTTCACAAAAGATTTATCTTCTCTTAATTCATCATCATCGTGCAAGCAGAGACATTAGGCCTTGGCTTAAAGTCTTTCATGAATGATTTTTCATCCTTGGGTTCAAGGACGGATCCAAGACCAGGCTATAAAATTTAAAATTGGGCTGCTAAGTGGGAAAAAAAATTTTACACATAAAAAATTGATTTTTTACCAAAAAAAAAAAAACCTTTAAAAAAAATTTGTTGGGCCTGGGGGGGGGGGGGGGGGGGGAAAAACCCCCCCCCTTTTT